TTTTTTTTCCTGGTTGAAGTTATCAATACACTGGGATTGAGCTGGATAAGGTCCTTTGAGTGTGTCATGTCTAGGGTGAGTGTCAGTTTTGTTTGTTTTATCCTTAGAATTGATGTCTGTTTGTTTTGTGTTGTTTGTAAAATGTGGTGGTTTCTTGGTGTGGCTTCGGTGCCCTGAAAGGCAGATTGTGCTGTGGTGTCAGGAGGAGCAGCTGTGCTTCAGAGCATTGGGCAAACTGGTCAAAGCTGGCTTCAGTTTCTGTGTCTCATTGGGACTGCTTTCTGTCTGCAGAACAGCTGGCTGCTTTATGACAGCAATGTAAAACAGCTGGATCTGTTCCTGGATGACTTAAAAATATTCTTAAGGAAAGCCCTTGACTCCATTAGTCTGCTGATTTAACTTCTGTGTTTGGAAGCTATGCAGTGATCTGTGTCGTAGAATTAGTTTAATTACATTTGGGCTCAGTTACGTCTTTGAGGAGCTAATGCAGCAGAAGTAGATTTTTTTTCAAAATGGTTACCTATTTTGGAGAAAACGTCTCTTTTTTTTCTTTTCTGTAAAATCGGAAATGTGTTCTTTGTCATATTCTTCCTGCTATCTGTTAGCTTCCTGTGTTCTCGGAGGGTCGAAGCTTTGCTGTTTGTGTGGGTGGCCATGCACGTTTCTTAGGAAGCTTGGCTGCATTCCAGATGATGGAAAAAGTGGCATTTCTGCTCTTGCCATGTCTACTTGCAGAGCAGTGCCTTTCTAAGTGGGCTTTCTAGGGCTGAAGGAAGAGTTCCATTGGTGGCAGAGTAATGTTAACAGCAGAGTTTTAGTGCAGGCCTGATCCTGTTTTCAAGTTGGTGACAGAATTCCTGTCAAATTTGGTTGCTGAGGATCAAGGTTTATAGGTTAGTTTAATCTTCCGTAGCAAAGTGTTTGACACTCTGGAATTCTTGACAGAGGTGTAAATTATGATAGTTTTCAAAGGTACCTGGGATATTTGAAAATCGTACATACCAGTTCTCCAGTTCTTCAAAGTCAAAATAGAATAGGCCTGCCTGTTTTTAATTAGAGGGGTAGGAGACACAATTGCTCAAGGTTATATTTGCATTTCTTAAAGTAATTCTTGGATAAAAAATGATGTATGTTGAAAATTTGTATGATTCGTTTGTTTTAATTAGTACCACTGATTCTGAGAAATGGACAGCAGCGTGTGTCAAGCTTATGAGGATGAAATCCAGTCCCTGGAAGAAGAAATTAAACTATTGGCTGAAAAGTATGAAGAAAGGCAACAAGAATCCACCTTTTTTTCTGACGAGGAGATACTAACGTCAATGTACGCCTTTTTTCACGTGTTGGGTTAATTGTGTTTCTTTGTCAAAATTACTCAGTATAAGCTTTTGCCTCTATGTTGGGACTTTCCTTATGTTATTTTTACAGTGCTGATCTTGTTTAGGACGTGGGCTATGTATGGTAAAAGATGACAAATATTAAACAGTTGGTCTCTTTTTACTGCTTTCAGTTGTTAGGTTGTGGGTTTTTTTAGGATTTTGATGGGGTGGTTTTTTGGTTTTCTTTTTTTTCTTTTTTTAAGGCAGTCATAGTGGTCAGAGCATGATATCAAGTACATTACTGTGCTGGCCCTTCACAGGTGTTGACTGCAGAGGCCGAGTTTTCCATTATGTGCTGTGAAACAGCTGAGTGCACATTTGATTAAAGGAAAAAAAGCACTGGGGGCATGCGCAGGTGTGACTCGTAATTTGCTAAAGAAGTGCAAAGTAGGGCCTTTTATTTCCACTATTTAACTGATATTCTCTAGTAAATGTACACTCTGAAAATCATCAGTTCATGTCACAGATGCCTTTATTTAATGGCATTGCTGTACTGTTGGGACAAAACGTGTTCTTAGTCTGGGTCTGCTGCCCTTTTGATTTTATTGTTTTTTTTCAATTCTAGAAAATCATTGCAAAGAGAATTTCAGGGAGAATCTAAGGAATATGAAGCTCCGTTGGATCTGATAGCTCAACTTGAAAGTCTAGAAACAGATCTCTCATTTTTGACGAAATTCACTGGTATTCGGTTCACAATTCATTCCAAGAAAACAGTGGAAAAAAGTAAGCGTTTTTGTGCCCTTGGCTGATGTTATACTGAGCATACTGGTTCGGTTCAATAGAATTGCAAATACATGTTGTAATTCTTTCAAAGTTAGCAGAAAGACTATTTTGCTTTGAAATACAATAGAATTTTCTTAGTAAAGATAGTATTTTGTGTAGTGAGGAAGTGCAAGACTACCGTGAAGTTAGTTGATTTTATTTTTGTCCAAGTTGAACTTTGTCTTTCTTTACGTGCTGGATGGTATCTGGAGGTACTTTAAATATGACTAATGGAAGAAATGCAATAGTTGTTGAACAGAATGAGCAAAAAGTATTTTGTTGTCTTTGTTTTCTAACAGCTAGAACTAGAACAGTGCAGAAGCACAGATTATCAGGGAATTGCCACTCCCTGTCTTTTCAATTGGAATTTCAGCTTCTTGAAAAGCAGGTAAGGATCAATGTGTGTTTAAAAAGAAACAAAAAACTGAACAAGCAAATGAGCAAAAATTCAACTAGGCAAATGTCAATACTCTTTTTTTCAGCTGAAACCTTCAGCTGGTATTTTGTCATCTTCCTTGCCCGAGTCTCTCTTGAGAAGGTTTTCTTCTCAGGAAAACTTGATTTTTAGCTCAGCTTTTAAGATTTTTTTTT